TATTTATTTATCATTTTTATCATTGCAGCATCGTCATCGTCGTCGTTATCTTTTCCGTTGTCTTCATTCACCTTATATTCAGGTATTGGGTCTGTCTGTTGTGTGTGGTAGTTAATAATAGCAATGACCACAGTAATAACTTTAGTCTTAATAATAGTTATTAATAATAATAATTGTAATATTATTAGTATAAGTTATTAACAGGTCGGCATAACGTGAAACGTAGAAGAGGCGTCGATATCGGCATCGTCTGCCTAACCGCCTCTTTCCCTTTTTCTCTTCCCAGCGCCATATTTGAACCACTGCTATCATATCAGTGGACATATGCACCACTCGGGTTCGGTCTCGAGCGTCATGCTTCGAGTCGCTCCCTTTAATCCATTGACCCTCATCATCGTCATCATCGTCATCATCATCATCATCATCATCATCATCGCCGTCGTCGTCGTCGTCGATTCAACAATTCACATCTTGCTTTGCTTCTTGTCCTTCGGCCTGAATTATTTCCTGCGTTTTGGCCTTTCGTCTTCACTTCATTCATTTCGTGACATGGTTGAAGAATGAGCCGCTGGCCTTATTATGATCTCGCTTAGTTCCTCCGCGAGCGTTGTCAACGTAGTATAGTTACAATTTAACACTCAACTTATTACCGCCTTCGTCAGATTTCAGTAATACTTCCCTTGCTTATCATTAAATTCAGTCAATTATTAATGTCGTTATGTATATATAACATCTTTTCATCGATCACCTTCTGATTACTATTAGTATTTTATATTTATTATATTTTATTTCATAGTTGTTATTGTCACTGTTATTATTATTATTATTATCGTTATGAATCTTCACCTACATCTTCATTAGCGTCGTACTCGCCATAGACAGCGTTTTCATTACTAGTATTATTGTTAATAGTAATATCGTTATTATTATAATTATATTATTTGTTTCTTATTAATCTTGTTTACTCGTTATTATTTTGCTTATTATTAATTGAATTCTAACAGCGTTCGCTTGCTCTGTCTGTCGGTCTGTGTCAGTTTGTCGCTTCGTCATCAATCAACTGCTCGTTCCATTAACCAATCAGTCAATCAGTCAATCACTCTCTGTCAACCAATCAATCACCCAACAATCAAGCAACCCATTAATCAATTAGTTTGTCTTTCTGTTGTTGTGGTGTCCCGCCATCTGCTGTTGTTCTGCATTAGTCCTGACCTTCCTTCAGTAATACAGGGCCCTTGATTATCCTCGTTACCCCATGTCTCATCATTATGAATATCATCAATGTTGCCATTACCGTCGTAGTTGTTTAATGTTACTGCTGCTGCTGCTGCTGCTGCTGCTGCTGCTGTTGTTGTTGTTGTTGTTGTTGTTGTTGTTGTTGTTGTTGTTGTTGTTAAGCGGCGTGGTTACCGCAATGTGCCTGGCATTCATATTGTACCGCGCTACCTGTCGTCTGCTATGATACTATGTCCGTAATAACGATCTATTGTTCTAATAACAATAATCCAACGACAGCGTATCTTGGTGTGCGTCTTTGTATCTGTTTGTGTGTCTGTATTTTGAGTATTGTTGTTGCGGTGTTTGTCGATTCGATAATAATAATAAATCGAAATTGACGCATGGCAAATGGCTGATTAGTGAATGATATTGTTATATTTGCGATTATCAGGCAACTTATTTCCTTTAGCAGGAGTCGCAATCAGCTGACCCCTTGTACACACAGTTTCCAATTAAGCGATGTAACACCGAAGTTGTATACTTGATGCCCTATGTTTCGAAGACTTCGCTTGTCATTTTAGTATTCGTGTCAGGTCGACTTCTCATTTGAAATGCGTATACTAATGTTTCTTTCGCTATAGTTAATTACTCTAGCAAACATTGTCTCATGGCTTTCGCTGGTCTAAACCGTGCTGCGATATAACACGATCCTCCGCATCCTGTGAAGAAGGAGGAGGTTTAGTTACTTTTTCACACCACGAGCCAATTTCATTGAACAAATGTCAAGTCCAGCGACTTTTTTCTTTTTTTTAGAAAAAAATCCAACTAATTTCCGTGTATGTGTGTGTTTTTAACGTACCACGACTTTAATTAATAAAAGATACACCACAAAGGTCTTAAGGTAGCAAGGTCGTTCATTAACTGGATATGAAGATAGCATCGGTTGAAAGTACAGTGAACATAAAAGTGCTATAGGAGTGGTGTGATATAAGTTTTGTCTTTTCAATCCAGCGACGGGCCTGGCTTTCGAACCGGGTCACAGCTCGAAAGCGTGGCGGAAGTCTATATTGTCCTCGACACTTTAAGTAAATCCTAGTTTTCCTCGGGGAAACAAAGCTTTTTCTAAAAGTAGTTCGGGTGCTGAAGCATAATTCAGCTCTTATCAAATAAGTTGTTTAGCTCTTGTTCTATAAGCTACTCAGTGACAGTATGCGTCCTTGATAGGACTCCGCTACCTGAAAATATAGTCACGTAAATATCTTTATAGATCTTTAAAGATCTTATACGTTATACTGGCAAAATTACAAGGACAGAAAGGAAAAGGTCGAAAAATGCAAAAGGTTAAACATGTGATATCCGCTCATTATAGACTAGAGCTGATCCCCTTTATTGTTTGTCTAGCCATGCTCAACTTCCTGTTTAGCCAACATATAAACGCGTGGTTATAAACGTTCCGATGTATACACACGTTCTTGTGAATTTTTAGAGGAATGCCCTGTGTTTGTTCGTATGTTTATTTGTCCATTTTTGTCGGCATCTGTGTAGATTTGCGTGTATGTTACTCTAGATTTCCCAGTATCGGCCTGTTATCGAGCCCGTCTGTTTTTTTTTTCAACCTTGCAATCACGCATGGCAAATGTTAGGCGGTTCCGTGCACATGGAGATAGTTTAGAACGCATGATTACGTGTTTTGTCACTGACAGAGGGAAAGAGCAGTAGTCACATATTAAAATAGTTGCAACCGCTTTTTAGTTGCTGGTCGGAGAAATCACCGTGGATTGGTTTGCCAGCGAGAAACGGCGCAGAACACAAGACCTATAATGGCCTACACGCAAACACGGTTGTGAAGGTTGACGGCTGTGTGTGATTGTATGTCCGTACCTGTGTTCACGTATTATTTTGATATTTTACGTCGATAATTTTGCTGTGTTGTTTTACGTAATATTATTTCTAGTAACAATCAAAATTGGGACGCGAGAGACTAAATGAGAAAGTATGTCCGAGGAAAAATGGTCGCTCAAAAATGTGATTGTGTGCGTTTTTTTCTATGTGTCCTACCTATCCCATTATTGTCACAGTTATGGTGGCAATAGTAGTTGTAGCAGAAGTAATAGCAAGTGGTGATATCATCGATTGCTCTGTCCTGTGGCGATACCGAACGTAGCATGTTATAAATGAATCGATTGCGTCCAATGAAACCAACGATCTCTTCTAAACTTCTTTACCCCCCCCCCCCTGTCTTGTGCTGTATGTGCTTCATCTTGTCCCTCTCCGCCTCCATATATATATATATATATATATATATGTATATATATAGTGCTTTCGGCGATTATTAGTCGGTCTCGTGTTTTTGTCTGCGCTTATTTGTGCTGACCAGTTGCGTATCTGACGTGTGCTTGCTGTTCTTTCACCATCTGGACCCTCCTTCTGTTCATGAAAAAAGTGCATCAAAAGACGTTGCATCTTGAATAACTGCTTTCGAAGCAACTATCGCGCAAAAAAAGTGGTGCTTTATGACAATGAACCTCAAATCAAGATACAAATGGCCAACGAATCGTTAAGTAGGTAACGTGAATTATTAAGTTTCTGTTAATTTTACTCCTTTCATATTTGGGTCGATCTGGTACGATCGCAGTTGCAGATGCGTGTATTTTTCGTCCATAAAAACCTTTATGACATCTCGCCTTAACATCGTCATTATCAATGGGTTTTGATTTGATCAGACTCTAGTAATTATGCTGAATTTGGTCAACTTGGCCGCCACCTTTTTTACGACGCTTATTTTCAACTCTTACACCGTCTAGCACTAGCAGAAAGACCTAAGGGCATTCAATGCCACTATAGCGCCGATTGACGTTTGGATTATCGGCATCATTGACTGCCAATTTGGATGGACAACTAATTGATATATTTTTCTTGTGTCTCATTTGATTAGTCGTGTTATTCACAGCAACAATAACTTTTCGACCTACTTTTTTCGCTTCACGGCCACTCGCCTGCTCTCTCGGCCGTTTTCTCATGCGTTCGCTATTAAAAGTACTCCTTTCATATTATTTGCATATCACGACGGGCGGACCATGAGGAAGATGAGAAGCTTAAAGAAGACTTAAAGACTTCCGTAAAGTGCGATGGTGCCCATTAAGTTCAACAAATGTTTGTCTGTAAAAACACGCTACCGCTGCGCTCTTACGGAGGCGTGTTTGTTTGTACACGTTTTTTTATATCACCTAGTGATTCTGTTTGCTTTGCCGTCCGCTATGTTCGTCTACGCTGCCAACTGCCATATCCGTCTGCTGGTTTGCTTGTTTATTGGAATGTGTGTATGTATTTTCTGTTGTGTAACATTGTCGATATTTACAATTTACCGTTCTGTTCGTTCTCCCTATGCTTTTACGTTCTCTATCCACGCAACGACGCCGCCGGCCTTTTGTCTGCCATGGAGCAGTAAACATCGCACGGTAGCGACGAGATGTGCTTGCTTAGCTGCGTGATGTTGCGTATAAGTATCTGTCCATGTGTGACGGTTTAGGTGATGGTAGTGCTGGATTCAGGTGCCACGTTTGCTATTGGCTGTTGGACTGAACTGCGGTGGCCGACACGCCATATACGTGCTCCGTAAGAAAGCGGAGCAGTGCCTGCCTGAGGTACAAATATGAGGAATTCCGGATATTTTCTACATCGATCATCTAATTACTACTATCCGGACGGTAGATGCATATATATATATATATATATATATATATATATATATATATATATATATATATATATATGTGTGTGTGTGTGTGTTTGGAGTAGATGCATTGTTTTATTAAGTAAATCGTCGTCTCAAGTATGAAGGAAGTGTCGACTTGGCGTTGCTATGAAATAGAGCGGAAATTGACACCTTCGTGCTCATCTCCTTCGTGTATATAGACACGAGCTAGCGCAGACCCTACGTTGAAGGTCATCATATAGATATACTGAATCGACCTGTAATGACTCTCTGCTTATATCTAACATAACCGCGATACGTGCGCTAACAATGATTTGACTAATTAAACACGGTATATGCACTAAAAGAACTTGACATTACACTCCCTTTTCCTGCAAAATGCACTTGTTTGGCGAGTTTAGCACGAGTACTGTTGTCTCCGTCAAGCCAACGATCGGGAGCTGGTAAGTTGGTGAAACAGGCAACAGTGAAAATTGATCTTGTTCAGTTTAAATATAAGGTCCTATGGACCTATTAACACTAATACAATCTATTAATAGGAAATCATTGTAGAAAAAAGATTTCTGAAAGGGATTTGAAAAGAGCTCCAAGTCTGAAAACTTCTACGTGTGGTAAAAACGAGCAAATAGTCATAGCAAATACATGCGATAAGCTGATAGTTAACGAAGTTCGTGGAAGCGTGTCTGAGCGTGAGCATCATAACATTTAAGAGTTAGAGACATGTATATATTGTTGATGTTCCCGTTATGTGTATCTTGCGTGGCGGAATAGTGACCTTGGGCGAGATACGGAGAAGGGATTCGTATGGTGTTTGTCGTTATTGTTCTGTAGTGGGGGGAGGGCAGTTTCTATTAAAGCTCACGGCTATTACCCAGGCACTCAGCACCGGCGGGCCAAAGCAGCACAACTCTGTTGACGATAATAACACCGGCGAAGTACGTACCCCTCATTGATTCGAAACGATTCAGTCAATAATTGGCAGTCTATGTCTCAACAAAGGTTCTGACCTTCCATTGGCTCCTCATCAACAGTGGAACAGTGAAGTTGCAAATTGTTAGTTTAATATTCCGAGGGTTAGCCGGGCCAGATCCAGCTAAATCGGGCAAATCTGTTGGTAAAAATACCCAGCCTTCCCCCCACCGACAATTAACGTTCAGCCAAGTACTGATAGACAAATATGCTTGCCAATTAGAAACCGTAAAAGTAGAACAGGTAACGAGCTTTGTGAGTTGAAGTCACCCACAGTCGTCGATGGCCAAAAATAAGAGACTCGAGAGGACGAATCTCAAGACGAGAGCGTACCGCAAGTTCATCTGATGACATGCGCGAGCCAAATAGAAAGTCTTTGCTTTCTCAGGTCGCACGGTCACATGCATTTCACATCTGTACATGTTAAGCTTTGGATAAAAACATCTCGCTTTTCATCATCTTGATCGGTGCTGCTGGCAATAAATTTCCAATCATACATTATTAGCAGACATAGTTCTGAAATACGAGAAAGTAATGACTTTTTACGTTTTATTCAATCGAACGCCTTTTGTCATTTTTCATTCGGCGGGTTATAACTGGAACGCTAATCTCTAACCAACGACGCTGCAATGCAGAAAGCATCATTATCAGCGCCATATGCCATACCAAGAGCGACATTTCTAAATAACGCGTATTGTGTATACGTATGCAGTTAGAGCTTACGTTAATTTGCTTTTTCTGCTAACTTTTTCGGTTACGTCGGCAGCACGGAAATTCGATGGAGCTTTTGTTCTGCTCTTCCAGGCTCCAGGCTTCGCTATCTGCTTTTGCCAGCCATATGGAAATTAAGGCGATCGTCCTCTATTATCTAATATCATTAATTCGTCTGCATATTAATTTTCGAACCGAAAGACCGACTTAGGTCTCGGCCACTGGGCTCGAGCGGAATCGTTATACCGGGCTCACGTGATGGCAGGTCAGATCACAATTGTTGATGACAGTTCTCTGGGTTTCCGGCTTCTTTTTTTACTAGTTATCATGACGATAAAAGGGCATCGCTCTCGCATAGTAGAGATATATTATTTATATATTTATATAGATTCATGTATATATAATTAGGTAATCAGTTGTGAATGTACGTGTGTGCTGTTGTTTCTGCTTATTGTTAATGTTGTGTATCAGGCCAGTCGCATCGAGATGAGAAAGTTGCAGTCGGACCGACATACTTGCTCATTCACCCGTTGCACGATAATCATTCGTAATTACATCATACAGGTTGTTTGCTGTTACTTTTATATATATAGTTTTCATTATTGTTTATGTTAGTGTTTGCTTCTGGTTTGTTATTTTTTCATTTCCGTCATATACGAAGACTACGACCTATACGTTCATTATTTCCTTTCTAACAGCTCTATTAACAGTATATTAATAATAATACGTTGTCTAATAATTATAAAGTTTCCCAGGTACTTATGAATCTGTAACCATCCGCAACCGTCGTCAGCGCTGCACACCCTCAATATCATGCCGCGAACAGGAAATCGACTCTTCTTGTCATATTAAATTCATGTTGTCCTCCATATCCAAGGTGTATTCAAGCATATCAGTGTAATCATCTTCCCCTTTCTTTATCTTAATTTTCTTGTTATCTCTCCCTATTTCATCACCAACAACATTATCATTATGATAGTTATTTGCACATCTAGCTTGAACTAGTCAAATTTGACTTTAGCAGATCTCAGTTCGTTGTCGTATTTCGTGTCACACTACCATTTATTATTATGTCATTATGCCTATGAGGATTGATTTATTAATGTTATAATTATAGTTGGTAGAAGTACACGCTTTGCTACTCTATTGTTTTTCTCAATAGAACGAATCGAAGGCTTCGAGTCTAGGCGCGCCCGCTGGTTACATTGGGGTTTCCCTCCATCTTTTTAAAAATGCTTAAAGAAATATCAGGATGAAACAGTCTCATCATTATTTACCAGCGTCGCCACCGAGTGGCCTTTAAGTCAATATCGTCTGCTACTGACAACGGAACCATGAAGGAAGAGTAACCAAGCGACTAGCGCCAATGAAAAGTCGCGTTATTTGAGGGCGTGCCGCTTGAGCTGCGTCTATCCATTATCGCGCCACACTCAGAGCATCGTTATCAACATCGTCATCATTTGTGGCCGTAACTTCTTTCGGCTGTCATGAATTTCAGCGTTTGTTCATAGCACATGTCGTCCCCTGGTTGTCAAATCGATCTATTTACCGTATTGGCACTTGTGTTTATCTCAACTATTGTCTCGCGACTGTCATATAGCAAGTGAGAGTTGTCTAATTGTTATTGATAATATTGAGTTAAATTGTCGTTAGATTGTTTCCTGAGGTCCAAATTGTTTGTTTTTTGTTGCGTCGGGATAGAATATGCAAACTGGGACTACCAGTGCGTTCTCTGTTCCTAAAAGTTTGCTTTTTTGCCGCCGAAACAAGAGACAGTGTAATTTTGTTTTCGTCGTCCTTGTCGCCACTACGAAAGAACAGTTGATGATGTTAGCTAGAGGGACTTCCAGAGCTAGGTCTATAAATGATGATTGGCTGAGGAAAGTGTCGATGTTCATTGATGTTGTTTAGGCATAGATCACAATTCTTAACGTGTTGATTTGATGCAAGAAAGGTGGGCTAAAGCTTCCGGCGTTTATTGTTGTTCTCACTGTTCTTGTTGTTGTTGATGTTGTTTGGGATGAAATTTTGCTGTTTGAATTTTTCTTAGCCGGAACGCTTCCATACCAGCCTCTGGTTAGAATTAGAAGCGTCGGATAATTTGGATCAACAAGATGCGTGGGCGAAGTGGGCGACGCGTTTTCAGGTTCGTCGTAGCACCGGACTAGGGCGTCTTGTGTCCAATCCCAATATCGTTTGCATCGGTAAAACCACGTGCTGTTTGTCACTGTTCGATCATCATTCGGGTGGTAAATGTCAAACGCTGGACGAGTGTGTCCGTGTCTGCTCGCATCGACGCCTAGGCATTTTCGCCCTGTAACGTCGTTCGTAACGGCGTATCGCGAAGTTCGGCCGTTTATCGCCGCCGCCACCGTTATCGATGCCGTCACCCGATGATTTCATTGTTATATATGCTTTACTATCTGCCGTTCAACTCGTCTGTTTGTCTTTGTTGCTTCTGGTTTGTCCTCGCTTTGTAATAGAAGAATTTAGCCGCTGTAGGGTTAACGGCAATCAGGCGTTGGCAGTAGAGAGGGATCATCGAGGCAGGTTTGTTTTAGTCTGTGTTGATGGTTCTAGAAACTCTTTGCATGGCATAGAAAAATCGGCTGATTGGCTAGCTAGCGATTAGCAAAACACCGGAGGTTACCGCGTCTCTGGTGGCCGAGGGGCGTTCAGGGTACATGGGCGCGTGCAACACGGTCTACACCATTATTAACGACGACAGGACTGATCCTCTTGCCCTGTAACACAAGCGCATTCCTGCGGCGGCACGATACGCCTATATGCCAACGACGTGGGTAGAAGATGAGGCAGCGCCCTCGAATGAGCGGCCCCCGCGAGAGGCGCTCGGACGGCGTGCGCAGGCGACGGGCCCCCATGCAGACTGTTGACTAACTGACAAACAGTACCCTGTGTTCTCGTGGATGTTCGGACGGTCGCTATGTTGCTGCTGTGTGAAAGCAGCGTTGTTGTAAACTTACACTACTGATTAAACAGGCAATACTGACGACAGTGCAGAAGGCAACGAGGAGGCTGCGCCCCGACCAGGGAGCTTGTTTTGACAAGAAGCCGTATAAAATGACACACAGCGCGCCGAAGATCTTCATGCCCTTTGAGGAACCTGTACACAGAATAAGTAGACGATGTTAGAAGGTAGGAAATGTCGAATGTGAAACTGTGTACGAAAAGGAAATCAGCTGTTTACTATTGTGCCAGCTATTTATGTTCTATTGTGCCAGCTATTTATGTTGGCGGCGGGGTGATATGTCTGCTGTGTGACATCGTTCACCGAAGATAGGTCACTTTGAATGGGACTATTTCTGGCATTCATTTGGGGAGAGTGTAGTAAATACACGTCACTTACGCGCGAGCACAGGATTCGTTCAGCTGTGACTGTAATAAGGCATATAGGTAGGCATTTTATCACAACGACTTTTCATAAAGTCGTTGTAAATAAAATTCCATAATTTTATTTAAAAGTTTCGAAAATATCCATTAAATTTTGATTGAACATGTAATCACAACATAATCAAGCATAGCCAGAATTTGTGGCGTTAACATTATCATTAAGTAGTTTCCGAACGCGCCCGATTTTTTTTCTGATTCTCTCGGAATCACCCGTTTTTAAGTATGATATCCAAGATTTGCCCCCGTTAGGATCCAAATTGGAGCTGATCTTGCTGATTTTATTTAGGGTTTCTCCAATAGACCTATGAAACAACATGGCAACCATACAAGCAGCTATTAACCTTGATAATACGTTACTTTCATTAATCTTGTATTTTTACTTGATTCCTTATTTCCTGGTTCTCAAGATCCGGTAGGAATTTTTGCTAACGCTGAGAGTTCAGCCAACGTGTCGAGATGCTTGTTAGCTATGGTTACCATGTTAACACCCTCAACGAGATGCACATGAGCCACTCAGACGATGCCACCCCCAACCAACCTCGAGTTGTACTCGCCGCTGAAGAAGCGGGCTGGCTTCGCCGGTTGTCTGCTCCAACCCTTTCGATGGAAGGGTCCTCGACAAGCCAGTCGATTGCTGGACAAGCTTGATGATCACGCTCTGCAAAGCGTAAATGAAAGGAATTTTTAGCTTTAGGTTTTATTATTGTATCTTAGGTGTATATGATCATGGGTATTGTTTGATATTGTCAAGACTAATATTCCTATAATTACGCAACCGGCAACATTGGATTTTGTATTACGAATCGGTGCGTTGAAAAGTCGGTGTGCTTCGCTTGTCGCTTATGATGTGTTATAAATCTTATCGGAATTCAGTTGTGCTCCTTTTTTCTTTGACTTTTAAGATATTACTAAATGTGGAAATAGAGCGAACCAATGTTCGATGACCTGTAGCCCATCTTTTTAAATATCTTTAAGAATTCTTTAGTCTACTTTTCCCTTCGCTGTATGCCACTCGAATTCGACAGGTTTTCTCGATGATAAAGTATTTCAAACGCTAAATTAACATCAATCGACTTAATTGACCGTGACTAGCCTGATCAGGTTTGATGAAGTTTTGGCAGTATGAGCTTCTCTTACATTAAATATATTCATCTAATACAAATCGTTCGCGTTTTAATTTGTATAGTTTATCTACATCTACTCAAACTTGCAAATCTCCAATAATACTTTTGTCAGTAGTTTACGGTTTTCTTTTCCGATTTTCATTGACCTATCACAGGCAAACCTTGGTTGAGGGAAATCTGTTATGAGTTCATCACAATCAATCAAAGACCTGTGTCGTCCACCTCTCACTGTACGAAGCAGTGGCTGGTTATTCAGTTGGGCTAGGAGACATATCAGGCCTTTAACTGATGTGTGAGCAAACAACGCGATAGATACTTGAACTTTACTTACCTGTGGTTGAGTTTTCCCCCTCACCAGACTCGGTATTGGTGTCCAGCACGACGCCGTTTAGCGAAAGCGACGCAGACGTCGTTTCTAGGTCCAGGGTTCCCACTGGAGTGTTGTCGCCCCGATCTTTGCCGCTTCGGCTAACAGCCGTTTGGTATGCTTTACTTGACACTTGACTACCTTCATCTGCATAGACAAAAAAGGTTTCACTTCGACATTATTTTATAGTTAGAAGAGAAACGACTCACAGATAAGTTTGTTCAGTATGATCGTCGCCATTTCAACACTGACAGCAAAAAGATCAAGCATTTTTTGATAAAGTCGCTCGTGCTGTTGGTAAGATGATATTAGAAAATAACTTCACGGTGTTTCGATAATGGCTTTACAGTGTTTACTACTGCACTTCAGCTGGATGATAAGTGCCGTTATTTGCAAGCTATGTTCTGCGTAAATTCAAAACATCATAATCTAAAATATAGATAAAATACTAGCGATCGCGCAAATGCGACACTAGATTTCAATCGAATCGAAGTGGTCACTAAATCTAACACACGTAATGAACGTATTGTGCTATTCTCGCGACTTTCGATTTCTCTATAAACTTTGCGGGGTAACAAGGCATCACTGTAGCTCTTGTGCTTCACTTTTATAGTATGGTAGAGGGAAGCTTGTTCCACATATACACATGAGATATATGGTAAGCTTCGAAAAATCTCTAGTCATTCTATCTGGTTGTTCCCAGAAAATATTTGTCTTAGTGAAGAAAGGTTTACAGCTTTATATAAGACTCGTACCTTTTGGCACGGTCTTATCTTCGTATTTCGTCACGATAGTATTATGTTTGGAGATTCTTTTTGTTTAACTGCCCTCTTAGCCAATATGCTGTTTTCTACAGCGTGGTGTATGACGTGTAGTCTTCTTCTTGAAGACGTCCTTGTTTTAGGTGATTTTTACCGGAGGAGTTGACAACTTGTTTAGATATCTAAGGACTGCATACTGATTAAATCTGCTTGCTAACTTCTCTGCTATTGTTACTTTAATATTCTACTATCACCTTAAACCTAAACAAATCCGTTTAATATTGCTTTTAATGAATAATAACGTATTAAAGTGATAACCTTTTTTTGGACGTTGTATTCAAATGTTAATTTACTCACTAATCGTTCACGAGACATGTAGAAAAGCTCTGAAGATTTTATAAGCTTGAATTGTGGACATGTGGCACATGAGACAGTTATTTAAAAAAATACAAATATTTACCTTTGTTTGTTGGATTCGTGAAGGTAAGCAGGTCTGTGTTAATTACTTTTTCGGGTAGCCTGGCCTTAGGGTTTTCTTTGAGCCAGCAGGCCAGATAGCACCTTCCGTCTGAAGCATAGGGCGAGTACTCTTCGGGCTCAGGTATGTTTGGATCGATGCAATAGAACAATGGTTCTCCGGCATATGCCTCACCCTGAATTGGATGGAAGTGCGGACACCTAAAACATGTTGGTAACAAAGACATACAGAAGACATTATTTAGCTTCTCTCTAGTACAGACATTATTGAGCTTTCAAGCGAACCATTGTTCTTCGCTTTCAATAAAAAGTATATAATACCTAACTTGTATGAGAAATTAGATGTTAGCTGTGAAATCTTGTGGGAAGTAGAAGGCTCGAATAACGCATCAAGACTTCCTACATGATTTTGCCGTTGTACATTCTCACAGAGATGCACTGACACACTTAAGCAATGAAGCCAAAATTATTCACCGTTTCTTAAATTCAATATTATATGTAGCTTTTACAGAATAGTTCCATATTCTAGCACAAAGTGTTCCCTCTAAAGAGCGAACGTGAATCATCCCTGGAGTATCAACTAGCATATTGCACAAGACCGCTTTTCTTTATTAGATGAAATTAAGGGTCCGAAAGTGCACCAGCGTTCGCTTTGTGCTTAGCACTGGCGTTATAGATGCAGAGTTTAATTTATTAATGACGAATTTTTTTATTATGCTAGTATTTGAGTCAAATTGCAATACTCGAAGTTATTATTTCTTTTTCAGCTTGCCTTAGTATTGTGTAACTTACCGTTCCTCAACGTCGGTGCAGAGACTTCTACAAGGTTTCCAAAGCTCCCCCGTAACCGGGTGGAAGATGGGCAATTGCATCGCACACGTCCACTCGCGATACGAGTCCTGGAATGGAACAAGGACTAAAGTCAACTTGACATACAGATGTGTCAGTCCCGTATTCGTGTAGCGATAACGAGTGCGTGTATTAATCAGAGGGATTCAAAGTTAATGTAGTGTAGGTGTCGAAATAGGGTGTAGGCTCGTTTTATTCCGTGCCGAAAAGAGCCGGCCATCTGAAGCAATGCTATAGCTAGAAAATGACTAAAACAGAACGGAATATAAAACTCAAAACATTTAGATGTTTGAGTCGCAGGGTTTAGTTGTCAATTCTTCAAAAAAAAGTCAATTCTTTTGTTATAAAACAAAAGAATTGACTTTTTTTTTTGGTCAAGTCTTCTTAATCTGGAGTGACTCACAACTTCCTACTGTGGCGTTCCTTTAAACATCACTATGGAAGCCGTAAGATCAGAGCGTATCCGGCCTCGTAACTACGCAACTTCCATATGTGTCCCTTCGGCTTTATAGTATAATTAGTGGAACACAACCGTAGTGATATATAGTGGTACTAGTGATACAAATAATTCAGGTTTTTTCAAAATAGGAACTTTACTTTTTCTGGTAATATTCATGAAGAATTTCATACGGTCATCAGATAGAGCACAACATAAAAACACAAGACATTAAATCTTAATATCAGGTTCATACAGTCTCTTCAGATCGATATTTTTTTTGTTTTTCGAAACGATTCTTCTCAATACTGCACACGCGCCTGTGTAGACCTGATTGTTGTACTGTTATTTACTGTGCAGTGAAATGAGTGAATATCTTTGGTTTTCCATTTAGTACCGCCGCTGAACGTTGCTTCAGATATTTGGCTCCCATCACGAATTGGCACCGCGGATGAACATTAAGCACGCCTGTTCTCTGAGACCCTTGAATAACCAGAGATCTTAGTAGCTAGAGCGTATGTAATATCCTAGAAAAGCCCTCACCACAAAATCTAATAAAACAGTTTAGTAGTCATCAATAAAATTGGGTAATGCTAGCTTAAATATCTGAGGCATGGTCATGAAGCTAATCCCGAATTTGACGCGTGAAACGTTGGCACAACTTATACCAAAAAGCGTGTCTTTTCGCATATATCATTGCCGGCTTCGAAAAGCTTTCCTAGAATCAAATAGCATGACTCAATTTAGCAATTTCCACGTGTGAACATGTAGGTACGAAAACCTTTTTAATGCTGACGAGAGCAGCGAACGGCCGCCAGTGGCCCTTTGGTCGTGTACAGGTTCTTGCGATCAGCGAAAGCTTCCGGCTAACGCTGGATGATACAAAGACTGAATTGGCGCTGGGATAATAAGCTTGCATCGCTTGCTGTACAAATTCCGATGCGTTCATAATTTTATTGACAACAAAAAAATCAGTCTCATTATGTTTTATCCGAGGCCACAGGCAGATGTTTAAGTTTAACGGGCTTGAATGATGGAGGCCTTTTAGGACCGGAGTCGTTGAGTCGTGGTCGAAGCCGCTGCCACCACTGTCCTATCTGTAGCTGCAACGGCGTCGTCGGATAACAAACCGAGATAAGCCGAGTGGGGAGCGGACCATATTGGCAACTCAAGCAAAGCTCAAGTGGACAATTACCCTGCCGGTGAATCCTTAGTATCTTGTTAGAGTTACTCGCCTCGTCAGGCCCGACAAGCCAAGGCCGTGTAAGGCCGAGCAAGCAGAAGCACGAACTAAAGCTCTTCTTTCTACCTCTGCCTCTCTTTCTACCTTCGTCTCTTCCATATGTGAACGACTGGTAGCAGAAATATCAAGGTGCGATGCTACACTTCTCGTCATCGAGTACTGAAAGGGACCGCACGTTACATAGACGTCAGCATCATCCATGCGACGGTGTTGTGTGCGGCCTTGCCATCAATAACAACAATAGCATAAGTGTATGGAATTGACTGATGTTTCATAGTTTACATACAATTTAGTCAGCAGCTTCTACTCTATTTAGGCGAATAAGAGATCGTATGGCTTATGAAATTGCGCGTAATCTCTTCGCCAAGCACGTGACAGTCGTCATCAGAGTCATAAAGTGTGATATGGTGGCCAAGGAACTTTCTTGAGCTTAGACTTCGTCGGTTGTTTGGACCGGGTTAGAATCACATGATTCTAGTAGCTTGCAACGAGAATAGGAAAGCTGCAAGGTAACATGTGTAAACGGGCTATCGATGTATGCGGGGGCTGTCAACGACAGTATGATAAAGTTTGCCTCTCCCCATGAGCTCTGTGACGTGCCATAGTACTTGAACCCTAAACAGAAAAATTCTGCCACCAAATAATATTTTCTGTTGGGTTGCAAGATAAACAATTATGATGCAGATCTTAATTAATGCAGATCTCTTCTGCACGAGGATTTTTTGGCGACAGTTGATTGGACTGGGCTAACATCAAGTAAAATTTCCACAAGTCATGAGCATACGAAACAGATGCCGATGGAAATTATTGACAAGCAACAACGTTGTCAAAGGGCTAATTCTATGGATTCTATTTTTCAGAGTCTTCAATATCTATGGAACGCCTGTTAACGTGAATTTCTCATTGTTGAGATACATCTTAGTTATGATACCCACAAGATTCGTCTGATGCGTATAAGCTTCCACAATTGTACCAAACTAAAGACCTTCAAGGCAATCATAATTACCAGCAATGGATTCACGTTACATCATGATTTCTCTATTTGTAATAGTCTACTGCAAGCCTTAATAATTGTAAAAGCCTTAAACATTTTGTCTGTTTTCCGTTCCTAATTAACAGGCCACTAAAACTGGGCATCTCTAAAGAAAAGCTAGAAAAAAATCCCAGTGAAACACCCAACTCTATAGAAGGTCTTTTAAATAAAACAGGAAAAGCCATCTAAATTGTGCTGCCCAACCGCGAGTCAGACTTCTGCTGATTTTCCGAGTATTCCATGCCAACTATACTGTGCTACTAGCGAAGCCATAGCAAAGACTATGGTTGGCCAAAAGACCCACGGTTCGAACCAAACTAACTAAAAGCGCGAATCGTGGTGCTCGAAACGATGACATGTATCAACATTACTATGGGCAGACGACTACCAGTTGCAGGTTTGTCCGAACTCATTGTAACACTTCATATCATAAGGGGCAGGGGCCGTAGCTAAGAGAAGCTAGACAGATATAGGGAGGAGTAGAATAAATAACTGCGGTGAATCAAGGGTCGTTTACCAATGGTAGAAGAACCGTGGTTGACGACCTGTGGCTGTCGGCGAAGCTTTTTCGAGTTCTAAGGAAATCTCGACGTGGATACCATTCTCAATGTGTGTATCCGGTTTACTGACGCCACAAGACCTCCTAATAGACAATTCTTATAGTACTGTAGGCAGTAGTACGTGGTTGGGTTGCTTTGTCCTTATAAGAAGCCTGAAGATTAATTCCATCTCGCTGGTGGTCCATGCCGAAGTTGATTAGCGGCTTCAACAATGGTCTACAAAGATAATTTTACATCGATTATAACATTTTTTTTTTTTCAATATTCACTTAGCCGGTTTTTCCCCAGTTGGTATTAAATCATAGCGTTTTAGCCCTGGACGTCTTCAACTATTGCATCTTCAATTATTACATTGTTGATAAAACAAACTCGATAAACGGAGCTCCGATATCGTAAACGTTTCATAATCGACGGTTCCTCCTAGTCGAGCTCCATAGTCTACCATATTTGCTATCGTTCCAAATTCATCACGCAACCTCGAGAAGCCATCGCAGCTAGCTGTTTAAACGTCCTTCAGCTGGCAAACAAAAGGAGCCTGCTACGACTTAGTACCGTCGCGGATGGATGCATTTCTCAGCTTCGCCTAATTACTGTTTGCCTACGGACATTCTGTGGCTTAGTAACGGAAAACGGCAATACTGACCGAACGTTCCGAGTTATCATCATATCAGCACTATCGTAATAAATGCACAGTAATATAAGCTATCACCGCAGTTAGCTAGACCGTCCCAAAAAATGACCCCTAGCTCTCTCTTGTTTCTTTCGCTTATCGCAGACGGTCCCACACAGATAAATAGATGGACAGCTCTTTTTATTAACAACAGCGAAAAAGTAGCGGTAGACGACAGCAAATGGGAACCTTGTCCATTTGCTAATACACCACAGAAAGTGTACGGAAAGAAACAAAACAATCCCTAAACTAGTGGAAATCATAAAGAACAAACGAATCTATCAGGGAAACAATATTTACACCCGGAGATGAACCGTAGGCCGTGCTTGTTGTGTGTAACAGCAAAAGCAATTTGACTTGTGACTGTAGTCGTATGAATTGCAAATGGTGGTCATTAGTAGGGTGACGATAGGAATCCGATGTCAAACGACCCTGCGGCGGTCTCCTCATGTAAGCCAGTAGTACCAAGTGTATTCTTACTCAGCTGGACGCGGGCTACAGGCCGAATCAGGATAAAAGGGGTCGGCATAGATATTCATTGAGACAGGGTACAAGGGTTCGAGAGACTCCCCACTGGTTACGTTTTAGCGTTCAATGCTAGTACTACTACTGCTGCTGCTACTGCTGCAACGAAGTGATCACGGGTACGCTGGCGTTCTCACTCGGAAACCGAGTGCTGGGGTAAGTAAAAGAAAAGTCTCGATCTACACTGATCATCCCCGATGTTTGTTAGCTTGATCCGGATGCAGAGCAAACCGACGACCCTTGCATTCACGTTACGCTATACATCGATATAGAGACACCGATGCCGATCCACGCAAGAATCCGCTTTACAGACGGAAAACTCGGGAAACTTGTAGGTACGACCACGAAGAGTGGAATAACAACAAATGAAACTATGAAATATGATTCACTCTATGTTTGAGTGAGCGTTGATAGCCACAGGTGAAGCGAAGATTAGAAAAATAGCGAACAACGCCTATATGCAAACGGATGCGAGTGGGTCGGTTTTAGCGTATATACATCTACGAAGGAATCTGTAGGATATGCCGAACTTTTTCGGCTGAGTATGTGAATGCAAAAGCATCTGTAAGGGGTAAGTTCTATTGTCGGATCATCTATATCGGCCCGTGATTCAGTGGTTGTTTTGTGAAGCTCTTTAGATTTGGGCCTGTGAGTTTCCCAAACGAATGCTTTGGGTTCATTCAAGGATAGTTTTCTTTGAATCGTGGGAACCGAAGGATCCGGAAGGGAACCGGGATCGAAAGGCAGAGGGACAAGTCTTCACCTGTAAGATGTAACAAGAATAAGATGCGGAGTATTGCTGTAATGACTATATTATGCACACAAGGCAACGATGACAAAAGCTTGTATCAATTTATAGAATAACGCTTGTAGAATACGAGCAGAGCAATCACGAGTTCGGCACGTGCAGTAATTAGACGAAGCCGGAACAAAAACTAAACTACTTTTTTACATCAATGACAACTGTCTTTAACACGAACGCTGACATTGGATGCACATTGGAATTGTGTACGCTGAAACAACTGACGCTCACTGCTAATATAAACATTTACATTTGTATAAAAGATTATTGTACACTGTGATGAAAGTGGCTGATTTACATTAATGAACCGACTGCACGGTGTTACAGTGTATAATTCTTACCGCAAAAAAAACGCAACTAGCTCATCTGTTCAGCCCGAGCCCAAGTTTTGAAGTGGAACTCGTTACGGCTGTTCTCTGCGTAACAATTAGTCCGTTACAGGTGCACTTGTCGCTTACTACTTGCGCCAGCAAATCCAGTTCGTTGACTATAAAGAAAATGCCATATGCGATTGTATTCTACGTTGGCTTGTCCCATAGCACTGTTTCAACGATTTAATCGTATCACTTGAGTGTACAAAACTCCGTAAGTCAGCTAATTCATTGTCCCCAACCAAGGCTTAAGGATACGAGGTTCAAAATTTACCAGGCTCGAGTCCCATGACACTATCAAATGAACTGGCGGCAAAATCTCGTTTGAATAATGCATCAGCCTTGAACTTTTTAAAAGAAAAGGTATTTAACTATCATGTTCTAGTTATCCTGTGATACTATGGTAATTAGTTCGTGTTCATGCTACCGTTGACCCGTTTTAACTTGATGAATGTCATATGAGTATTTATAGGTGATCCTTCGACAAAGTGTTTTCCATTAATACGCCAGTAAAACCCTGTAAAAAGTATAGGCTTTAAGAGCTTTTTCCTACATATTCCTTTTCTCAAATCTTAACCAGTGCGCGTACTTATTTCTCTTTCGATAAGTGTCAAAACTCCTTAGCAGCACAATGAGAAAGCTGTTTATGGCCCGGCGCAGGCCAAATTTGAGTAGGCTGCAACGAGTATCATGATATACACGCTCGTCTATGAAAAAGTATTGACCGTTCTTCTGTCTAGACGACTTGAAAGTATCATATCTCAGGTACTATACGTCGAGTTCCGTTGATGTTGGTGTCATTTGAGAGTTGAGTTTTGTCGGAAGCAGATGCCCTACTGTAGAAGTGCGTTCATTCAGACTCTCATTCAGAAGGTAGAGGTCCTAGAGGATATGAAGCCCCTAAAAAAATTATTTTCGACAAAAACTTTAAAATTTGATTACGATGAAGGTACGAACGCTGTTCAGACTCTTTATGGGTCATGAGAAGAAAGGCGCTAATCTAATCCTGTCGCTTTCGACCTCAAAATCTCGATGTCAAAGATGCAGCTTATAGTAAGCCAACGAAAAAGAAATACTGAATCTATTGCGTAATAATAATAATATAATCTGTTGCGTAAATTGGACAGTATCGACGCATAAGTAGCTACGACATCACTAAGGAACAAGACATTTATCACTGAACAGTTTTAAACCCAGATGAAAGTTGGCTACGTAAACAGAAGTTCATTGTTTCGGCGCTACACGAATTGATGCAAAAGAATCTGCTTGATCGTATTTCTATCTACAATGAATCCTACAAGGACGTAACTAAATTAAGCCATTTGCAAAGCGGTCGACCATGGATAATGAAATATAGATTGAATATAATAATAGCACGCCGATATAAAAGAAAATCTCTATAATTTGTGGCAAAGCCCACACCGATGCCAAAAAAATGGTACAATATATTCATTTGAAAGGAATCATTGATTCTGAATTCGGGTCACCTAGCAAATTGTGTTAATCTAAAGGTTAATAAATAGATGCGAAAACTGCTTGCTAAAATTTTTACCTACAAACAATCAAAAATATTTCGACTACCTAATACATATATATATAGGTGATTATTTTCTAAAATACATGTACAATTTTGTGCCTTCTGTCTCCCCGACTCTGAAGTCTAATTAAGATAGTGCTGAATGTAATTATATTTTTTCTATCTTAGTTCATAGCTCATACGTGCTATAATCAGGCTGACAAAAAGTACGAACGGCCGCTCGAACAGCACTTTCTGTATAGTGCTATTGATAAGCATGTACAGAGCGGCCTCAACACTTTAATTTCCAGTATCTAATAGAGCAGCATTATTCATTTTTCTGATCTCTTTGGACTAATGAGATCACTCAGAGGAAAGGAGATACTAATGTCCGAGTCAACCTTTCAAAGACAGTCGGTAAGCGGAGAACAAAGTTCCTGTCTAGATTTCTAAAATGCAACAGATGCCGATTCAAAAAGAAACTTGACAAAAAAAGTTGCTTCACAATTAAAGAACAGAATGTCTGCTGAACAGTTTGCTATTACGCTAGCGGGCTAGGCGTCGGCTAGGGTCGAGTAAGCAGAGGAAGTAGAGCTAAGTGTCTCGCGCGCTGAGGTGACGAAAGACCCTCTTACGTCTCATCGCAGGTACCCCCGGGAATATGGTTATCTTGGTGGGAAGACCGGGTTTGAAGCGGTGATCCTGTTACTGTAGATCGGGGAGAAGCAACGGCAACAGACAAAACATATAGTCGCTTTGCGATTTCGTATGTATCTACATGTTACTAATCCATGTTCCCTAGGAGTGTGCACTTGCTCTGTGTGTTGACAAAGGACTGATTGTTTCGGTTCCGATTTCGACCATTAGACATAATCCTATATCACCTTCTATTTATTGTCATTATAGTGCCATGTAAGACCTATTATCTGCGTGTCACGTTCTTCTATTGCGCTACTACCCCGCTATGAGCACAGCCATCGCTTTTGGTACTGGCACTGTTATTAGTCTATTGTATGTATGTATGTATGCATATAAGACATATCCAGAGTGCAGTAAAGGCCTGTCAACAGTTCGCATTTTTTTTACTGTTACATTTTACTATCTGTTGCTATTTAAATGGACACTGAGTGACAATCGGCGGCTCACCTGACAATGCCTGCAGCTCCAGCGCACTGAGTACCTTAGATTACAATCAAACCTATCAAAGAGTTTCTCCATCTGGCATACGGTTTCACAGGCTTTCCGATCCTCATTCCACAATCGGTCCCACATTTTACTGCGTTCCTCGAGGGAGGCGTTACAAAATCTTTTCCGATCCAGCAGCATATCAGGTGAGATATGCTCACAGATCCGGAGACGTGGCACGCGATTGCCACCATTAGCGCTATCCGTCGACGTCGGTTCGTCCATCAACAGAAGTGACTCATGCTCTTTGTCCTCTTTAGCTGCGACCACAGATTTGATCTTCGAGCGGGCCAGACTCGTCAACGCAGCGCTTCCAACGTCTAACGGCTTCTCGACGCCGCTGATCTTCGGTCTGCTTTCACTGGCGCTGCCGTTTCGATTTTTTCTCTTACTATTATTATTGTTAGGGTCGCCATGATCGTCTTGGGATGCTCCCCCCAAACTTTCGAGACCCGTCTGCGACGCCGGTGGAAGTGGCGGGTCCGCCTCTACTCCTGGCACATGTCTACGATTCCTGATCTCCCCTGTTTCGACAGCGTCTCTCGATGCACCGCTGTTAGATTGCATCGTCCGTGGGGCCATTTCCGCCGACAAACTCGGTTGACCACTCTCTTCGTCAGCTGAGAATGGAACAGGTACAGCCACCGGAATGCTTCTTCCGGTGGAATCATGGCCTGTTGGCAGTATCCGAGCGTCGTGGTCTATGTCAGGATCGTGGTCTCGTTCATGATCGCGATTATGCTCATTTTCCTGATCATTAGTTTCCCGTAGGCGGGGCGGTTTCCTCGTGAGCTCTTTAAACTCTTTGAACTGGGCTTTCTTGCCAGGTGGCCCTAGTCGGTCGCCAGACAAATTCGCCCGGGACTTACCATTTTTTGGAAGCATCACGGTGCCACCAGGTATCTGCGGATAGGCAGGCTGACCTCGTGCGCCTCCCGGCGTCGCGGCATCAGATCGGATCCTCTGCGCGATCAGAGCAGACGGCGTTGGCGTTGGCTGCATTCGCGGCTGGGGTTGGGGCCGTGAGCAGAACTCCTCGAACGTCGGCATTTCGGGAGTCTCATAGTTGCATGTTTCCGGACATCGGAACTTCGCCTGTTGTTGTTGTTGTTGCTGCTGTTGCTGCGGCTGCTGCTGCATGTCGATGTCGAATCCCTGACACGGCTTAGGTACAAGTAAGACAAGAAGATACAAAAGGCAGTATACAACCGCGTGTTGGAGTCGGAACGCTCGGAGCGTCCCCCGGGCCGCGGCAACCCGTCCATGTGACGTACACTCTTTGTAACGAGGAGGCTTTTGGCCGTTACACAAGTGTGAATTTGTTGGTAGCGTCAATGATGATGCTCTTGCAGTTGTTGTTACTGTTGTCGACGTTGATTTCTCTGATGAGGATGACTTTCGTATTATTGTTGCTGTTGGTAATTTACCGTCGCAGGATGATTCTTTTGTTGTTGTTGTGCTCGTCACCTCCTTTCTTAGTGATATTAAAGCTGGTGGCAGGGCCGGACACGTCGATGAAGGCGGCGGCAAAGACGGAAGCATCAACGACGGAAATGTTGATTTTGCCGGCGTACGCTTGTCGAACAAATACCTACACTGAACATTCGTTGCTCGACAAACATTTGACGAACTATTGGATGACGAAATGCTCGAACTGTTGTCTAAGCTGAACGACTGCGTTTGGCCGCTTGCTGATCGTCGCGACAAAAGCGTGCTATCGATAGGCAGCGCATCACCAGTCGCCTCAACGCTGTTGTTAACATTAACGTGATTGCTGGCTGACGACGCTTTTGTTAATGTTGTTAGTACGACATGAGTTTTTAAATACGGAAAAAAGACGTCGTGACTGACAGCTAAAGCAGAAGACAGCAAGTGACTAACAGGTTGTCGTTCCTTATCATTACCGATGCATTGCTGCTGCTGCCGCTGCTGATTTCGGTGTATCGGGTTTTCCTGCCGCTTTCGCTGGTTTCGTTGGCAAATTTTTGCTGATCGAAAATATGGCCACTGACCTGCTTCGTCATGCTGTTGCTGTCGTCTTCTGAGGCGTACATTTGAAGAAATCGCTACGTAGTATTGGAGTAACGCTGGTATTCCTTTTAACATTGACGAAGATACTGACGCGTGCATTGTCGAATGATTTCGACGATAATAGCAATAATAGTAGTTGTAGTTGTAACAGAAACTCTTTTGGGAACACGCGGCCGACACTGGAACTTCGATCACGGTCGTTGTTTGATACTTTTTGCTGCTCCAGCTGTTGTTGCTGTTTAGCCTTTGAATTTGTTGGTGTTTCGATCCCCGCTCGGTCTCTGACTTTGATGGCGGTGATGGACCCGGCCACGGACTCGGTCGGGAGACCCACGACAGTCTGCGAGCCCACGAGACACGCGCGGTTGCGCTCGGAAAATATCGATGGTTTGCTGAACTTGGTCGAACGAAGCGACGTCGGGACGGTGACGACATTGGTGGCGCCGGCGCTGCTTTCTTTTGTCGTGATTTTGCACATTTCTGTCGTACTTTTGCTATGCTTATGACAATGATAGGTTCGATTTGTTTCGGAACACTGATAGGTGTTTGAGGTCGGATAAGCATTCGCGAGTCTTGACAGTTCCGCAGAGTCCACAAATGCCGTAGCATGAGTAGCTCTTGCACCGTTTCGTCCGTTAGATGATTTTTCGGGTGACAATCGACGCAATTGAAGTGCTCGTTGAGTATTTTCTTTTGACAACCCAGGTCGTGCCTGTCCTTCGTCGAAACACAGACTCCACGCAGGCTCGGGTAGCGGCTCGACGGCATTTGATGATGGAACCATGTAGGCCGTCCAGGTCGAATACTGTGTTGACGATAGTGTCCATGCCGGTGGCATGTGTCGCGACGATCGACCGATTGATATTTTTCGATGTCTGCCGCCATTGTCACTTGCTGCATCAACAGAGATTCTTCGCCATGGTCGTGATTGCTCGTCACTGCTTCCACTTCTGGCCATAATAGCGCGCCGTCGTGATTCGCGATCCGAGAAAAAGTTGTGGTATTCTCCGGGACCGTTTCCGGTACTTTCGATCCCGGGTTTATTTTCGAGTTCGTCCACGTTTTTCTTTTTATCTGCTTCCTCGTTGTCACGTTTCTCTTCATCCACCATTTCCGCCTCCAATTCACTGGCTGTACCGTTTTGTCGTCGTTCGCTACCTGTATCAACTTCGTTTGCCACCCTCGCGTTAAGGGGCTGCTCCCCTTTCGTGGAGGGGCGCAAATTCCTGATCCCGTACGCCATGTGGTGGCGCCAACACTGGCAGACTTGACGCATTCGACATTCGCGTGTTCGCTCCTCACGTTCGAGCTGACCAAACTGACGGTACCGTTGGCTACGTTGACCACTGTGGCGCTGCAAGCCGCTGCCTTCTTCTCTTCGTCGTTTCCGTCTTCTCGTTTCTGTTTGTTTTTCCGCTGACTGCTGACTCTGGCGGCGACAACAACAACAGCTCTCTGTTGTATTTTGTTGATGCTGCTCATATTGAGCGACGGGGCGGTATATGGAAAACAGGAGGGGTATCCGATATAGTGTCGGGCTACCCCACATTGTCGAACCGCTTGAAGAGCGAGCGCGTCAGGCCTAAGGCTCGATAAATGTGGCTGAAGAGGCAGCGGGAGCGGCGACGGTGTTGACGGCGATCGTGTGGCAGCACTGAAATAGGATGCTCTTGGACAGTCGCGTGTATTGCTGCGGGCCACCTGAATCGTGCACGGGAACTGTAGCTGGCGCTGCTGCTGCTGCTGCGTGGCTGCTGTCTTTGTTGTTGTCGTTATTGGCGACGACGAGACTAGCGACAATTTTATCAGTGGCGGCTTCTCGCTGGTGACGTTGGTAGCAGTGGTGAAGTTGTCGGTCGTGGCAAGCGCTGTGGGCCAGTACTGTAGGCCCAACGAGCGCTCGAAGGCGGCCTGCACGGCGCTGGCCTCCAGTGCGCGCCTTAACCGCCATCGCCGATGTGACCGCGTCGGCCTATTCGGCCGCTCCCGACGACCGCCCACTATCAGCGGGCGCTCGCGGTTTGCCCGCTTTCCCGCTGTCGTTGCCGCATCCACTCGGTCACTGTGCGACGCGTAGCGTTACCCCTTTGCGCCGTCCGTCTCCCAGCCGCGCGGCCACAGACGTTTCGAATTCCGAAAATAGAGCCAGTGGTTACTGTTAATTGGGCTGAGACCGCTGCTCGTGCTGTTGCTGGTGACGCTAATGGTAATGGCTGCGACGAGCTTACTGAAGTCGCCACCGCCAACGAAGTCAACTCGTGGTCGAATCAGAATCAGTCATCAGATAAGAATCTCTCTGAGAATTAGCCACCTGTCATTTACTAGGTATCCTTTAAATAAATAAGGATCAGCTAAATCATCCGGACCGTGTGGATCCCTTCAAGCCGTACTGATTATCGGTGTCGAACGACGGTTTACGCGAAGCGGTGAACTGGGAGCCGCGGGCCAAACAGCAACAGCAGTGAGAAAAGCGACCAATTCCAAAGGCTATAAGATCCCGAACACTATAAGCATCACGGCGACCAGCACAACTAGAGCGCCCAATCATCAATCGAATTTCTACTCTTATTATAAATAATATCACGAATAGGATAATTCTCTGTGGCGCCTGTTTCTCTTTCCTATAGTCGTGAACATTCAATGCCCTTTTCGTTGATCCAGCAAAAATTATGCCCCATATATGTTAGCCAGTTGATCAGGTGGGCATTATTCAGCGCTAAGCAGTCGTCAGTGGTCGAGGGACACTCGATGTCCGGGTAGCACTTGGCCACGATTTTTCATTCAGCACTCTCGGTATTCCTATCCTGTCCTAGCCGGCTCGTTTTGTTATTAGCTTAGAGCTGGCTTCTGTTCCGTACGTTCTTCCGTTCAGTTGGTTTCGTCGTATCAACCATTTGGCCCTGCTTTGTACCTCTGAGCGCCCTGGGCCCTGCGCGGCCTCCTGGCCGCCTCGGCTACACGACGACCAGACCCAATGCAGCACTATCAGTGTAATTACACTGTATCCACGCACGAATCAAGCGAACAGCGTATGATGGTAGCGGTACGTTGGTCCATCAAAGCGTAGGCGAACCCCGACTCGACACTGCTGTTTCAATGGATGGCGCACGCGGTGGTTCCTACTGCCGCCATTTCCTGTTCGACGCGCGCGCTAATATCACCACAAACACAAATACTAAGCACCGTTAACGCAACAAGGGGCACGGGACTAATGTGATAACGACAGCGACGTACAAATTGCGAAGATCGAAAGTGGCAACCGCGCACAGATCTGTCACCGGAGCTGTGTAATGACAAGGATTTAGACAGCGTCTTGGGGTGCCTCGTTGAATTTCTCGTCGCATAGGGCGAACAGCACGATATTGTAGAAGATAAAAGTGAGGATTTCGATAACGACGACGTTGAGGTGTAGGGCGATGCGCACACTGGCGGCACTATGATTTCACTGGCTACGCTCCTTTTGTACACAACTGCTGCGATCCCCATCACATGCACTCCGGTCGGCCCCTCACAGCACCACGATCACTTCATTCACCTCTATTACGAACGCACACAGACCCTTCCAGATACTCTATCACCTATAGACAACAGAATGGTGCGACGATGGAATCGTACATGGCCGGACTCTCCGCTCTTGCTATTCGGTCGTTTTACTTGTTGGCTACGATCTCAAGCGGTTTCAGTTTGAGTCCTGCGTTTTGGACCTGTTCTTAGTCGGTGGACTTCAATCAACCTAGCCGACAGCGGCGGTAGTAATCGTGCTATGAGCAGCAAGCCAACGCTGTCAGAGGCAACGCAAGCCAGGGGCAAGCCAGGCCGTACTCAGGCCAAAGCCAGCCCAAATGCTGGCCGAACTCGAAGCCAGAGTCTCGACGGACGAACGGACAGAGGAGACTGCTCGGTCAGTTTCCGTCGTCTGGAGAATGCTGCTTCCTGCCGCAAGCTGCCCACGAGTCGACGGGGCCTCACCACAACGAACTAACCCACCAGCGAGCGACTAACACCGACCAATCGCACCAGCCAACGGCAGCAGCAGCAGCACTCACAGCTCGCCACGGCGTTCAGCGCTCAACAACCTCAACCAGCGCTCAGCAGCAGCCAGCTACCGAGCCAGCCAGCCAGCGCTCTTCAACAGCAGCAGCAGCAGCACCACCGCCACCACCACCACCACCACCACCACCACCACCACCGCTTCTCCTCAGCAGCAAGCTGCGATACTAGCATCAGCATCATCATCATTGCTACGGACAGCATCATCAGCATCAGCAGCAGCAACAGTAGCATCATCATCAACAGCATGATCATCAAGACCATAATCATCATCATTGACAGCAGCGGCATCAGCACCACCCATACTCTCCCCTGTCTTTTACTGTCCTCCATAATACGGCATTTAGCCGTGGTAGTGTGACGGTAGTGGCAACGGCGGTGGTGGCAGCGGCAGCGGTGGCAGCGGCGGTGGTGGCAGCGACGGCGGGCATTAGCAGCCTCGGCAGCGCCACTAGCGGGGGCAGCAGCGGTGCCTCGATATGGCGCCGCTGCAAAGAGGGCGCTGTTCTGCTTGTTGGCAACATGGCTGACGGAGGAATGGACGGGCGGACATGTCGACAAACAGACAAACTGATAGGCTAACTAACGAACGCGGGAAGTCGAAATGGACGGACTCGAAGAGGGCAACCGAAGAGATGGAGGGCCGATTGCTGCTCCTGTTAGTTGGAATAGCTACCAGAATAGGGTGCTTCGACCAGAGAGCGGGCGGCATTGGCAGCGGTCACCGCCACGCCGACGGCAGCGCTAAAGCCAGTTCGACGGAAATGCTAGCGAATGGCGGGCCTACTAAACCCGAGGTGCTTGGGCGGCTTATGAAACAGCGAGGAGCACGAAGGAAGGGGCTCCGCTATCACATCCTCCTCCACCCGCCACTACCGCTGCTAACGGAAAAGCTTAGTCGCTTACTTACCACCACCTTTGTCATCAAGTTCCTAGCCTTGCCCCCTCCATTGCTCCTGCTAAACCATATACATTGTGTGCTATAACTGTGCTCGTATAAGCTGGTCTACGTTTGTATGGTACGATTGCTACCAGGAGCATTCGGTTTGTGTCGAAGAAGCACGGCTATATTACCTCCGTGCCCAAAAAAAGGAAGCAAAGAGAAAAAATGAAAGAAAGACTAGATAGGCGGGAACAAGAGAAGGAAAGAAGGGAAGAGAGAACACTCGAATCAGTCGACAGCCAGACAGCGCTGCATGCACTTGGCCCTCAATTACCACTGCCAGTAGCAGTGAGAGACTAGTCAAGTACAAAATACCCTCACCCTCGCTAGTGTTCAGCAGCACGCCAGTGGTACTCGTGGCAGCCCGGTTTCAGTTGAAATTGAGTCTCTTCTTTTCATCCTCGTTGTCTTTTATTTGCCCTCTCCCTTTCCTCTATCTGACACAAAGCGAAAATTCAGCCTTCATGGCGAAGTCCGCAGGCCGCGCCTCCCTTGTCTACCAACTACGCTCATCGTCCCCGTTGAATCGTTACTGTATATTCCGTCAGCCAGCCAGCCAACCTGCCTGCCAGCGTGCCTAGATATGCAACAGGCAAACCAGCGCGTTGTCGGATGCACGCCTTAGTTTGCCCTTGTCCTCACCCTCAAGCGCGCGTTCTACTCTACCGGATCGGTGGTCGTTGCCACCCGCTGGCTGTGTGCCGACTTTGTGTGTGCTCATATCAGCGGCAGAGCCTTGTGTGCCCTCCCTCGCGCTTCGACCCTCACTCGATTCTCCGCTCAAAGAGCTCCAAACGGAGGCAGAACTATGGTCCACTAAGAACAATTTAGCCGGTTGCTTGTCAGCTCGAACTTGCCTTCCGACGCGCCATCCGCAGCATAACACGAGGCCAACCCAACGAAGACACAGCACGAAGACAGCACGGCAGAGCCAGCAGCTAGCAGATAGAAATACCAGCAGCAGCACCAGCAGTAGTAGCGAACGGTGCAGGCATGATACGTTCCTCGGCCTATTTTAACCATCTCAGAAAATCCAATAGTAACCCGATGGCTGTGGCAATTGGTGGTGTTAAACTTCAGCGACAACATCGTGAAGCTGCTGCTACTGCTGCTGCCGCTGCCCGTAGTGGGCAGTAAAAGGAAAGGGCATGCCTGTGTTAGCCCGTGTGAACGCGTTTGAGTGTCGCATTCAGTGTCACTATTTTGCCTCCTGTCCGTCGCGTTTTCCATACCTCTCAGTTTTTTCTCTCTTTCCCTTTGTTTCTCACACTCATGCATGAGCTCCACAAATGTTGCTCTCTCAGTTATCCTTTGATTGTCGCCTAGTTGCCCCTTTGACTATGGCTATGCTCGCCGCCCACGTTTCTCGGAAATCGTTAGTATCTCCTTCCCGTTTCAGAGGTCTCCCCCCATACTTACTTTTTGCGCGTGACAACATCTGGGAACCTCCTCGTCCACTAGGCGGCTGTCGTAACAGCACCGGCGGTAACGCTCGCTACCCTCATAGCAGAGCTGTGCTCCTGCCATAGTCCCATAGAATGGTCTTACTCGTTGACCGATCCATTGCTTGCACTCCGTTAACAGCTTCGTTCTCCTTCTTGATTTTGCTCTTCCGCCGTTCCGTCCTAAACCGATGTCTGTCAAATAAGTTCAACCTCCTAGAAAATCACAGCAGTCCTAGCTAGTAGACCAAGTCGATACGATGTTGTTTACCTATGCGATACTGCCTGGCTTAGCTTAGTGGCTCGTTCATGTTCTCTTTTTCGTCGGCAGCCACCTTCACGTCTTGCTAACCAGCAAACGCTCATATAGCTTTATACGATACTATTACGATACTACTAATTCTAACCCAAACCCACTTAAACTGTGGAACTGCAGCCAGCTTGCTTGCAGTCGCTTACTGCTAGGCACTTGCGACCATAGTTGACAAAGCAGCAAGTGAATCAAAAAACAGAGGATGATACAGCTGTCTGCCCCGGCGGCGACGATGATAGACCAGCTGGAGCCTCACAAAGACATGGAGTGCCACGCCGTCCTCTGTTTGCGCCAGCGCGCTACCAACATCGAGATCAGACCGTCCCGTTGTCAATACTGAGGGTTATCTTGGTTGATACGGTGGAGCACAGTGGTGCTGTTCATGGGACGTAAAAAGTGAGCGTAACTCCGACAAAAAGTAGTAAGATGACAAAGGCCGATAACAGATGCTACAAGAAACGGACCTGAGGCGAGCTTCTGACGTGGACCGCCAACCAAAATCGAAGTTAGGCCATAAACCTGCGTCGTATACTGTATTATACCCTAACGTACGCTAAATTAGAAAATATACAAGAAATAGATACAGATAAAAATAAGTAAGCTAATAAAAATTTCGCATTTTCAGGTATCGCTAGAGTTTAGAAAAATCTGACCTATTTTTCTTTCACATAAGGAAACGTGAATGACAAGAACGACTTGTAATAGAAATTCAAGAAATGCGCGCCGTCGTGAGAAGCTCAGAAAATCATAATAAAGCTCGGAAAGTTATTAAATAAAATTATAAGGGCAAATAAGCTAACACGACATATTTAACTTCTATTTTCTGGAAGCTATACTTTCAGTCTTTGTTACTCTTTTCGCTTCCATCATAAATAAGGACGGCAACTCTTTACGCTAGGGGCCGCTATTTTTACGAATCACTTCGATAACAAAGTCACACAGAGGTGAGCAATTAGTGACAGGCCAGTGGAAATTTACCCGCCTTGTACTAGAGCCATTTTCTCGAGGTCTCAGCATGTCCAGTTATTTTGTCTTTTGTTACTATGTCGCGGAGCTTTTCCTCGCTTTGGCTCCCTAAGCCCTCACACTGCCTTGTTATGTATGCTATAACGCATTTGTATACTTTTTCCACTCAGGCCTAACATCCCCTGGCTTCTACGATTTTGGCTTTATTCTGAGCAGTTGTGGCAGTAAAAATACTATAGTGCAAACCGTTCAAGCTGTAGCAATAGCTATCGTCACTCATTTATGGAAATGCTTCTACTTGGTCCAACTGTAGAACCATGCGCAGTGGTCAGGAGAACGCCTTCGCGACTCTCGCTACGTACTGCTCGGCCAAGACTTCAATAACCTATTCTCGTAATATATCCTGCCCCCCTGCTTCATTTTAGACGAAACTCATACTAGCTTAACGGGAATAGGCTCACATATCCTACGGATTCCGCTATTGGATTTCCCCCAAGTTGCGCTTATCACCTTCCAGGTTCTAGTCCCTGAGGTTCTTCCACATTTCGGAAAATGAATTCCTAAGGTGCTGTTACTGTCAGAGCCTCACCTGAAGCGGTCAGGCTGCGATTTCCGAGTTAACTCGTTTACAACTCACACCATTCAGCAGGGGCGGTGGCATAGAGGTGTAGTTAGGTATCGATTTGGTTTCGTTTGCGCCTAGTTAGGGTACATTTTCTGCGGCCCAATTCCTTGACAAGCTCTTAAAACGGACAGAATGGTCAACAATTTTCGAATGTGAAAAGGGGTCAGCGTTAGCTAACAATGCGCCGGTATATGGACCTCTTTTGTTAAAAAGCACAAGTTCAGAGTTCATTGATGAAAACAAACACTAACGCCCCTGAAGCCCGCATGTGAACCAAGCAATAGGGGATGCGACGCAAGAATTTGACTAGTGAGATCCGCGACGGACGAGTCCCGGAAAAAGTGAAGTATCGATAACAGAAACAAGTTATACCGCAAAGCGTTTATTCGTTTCGCGTTAGTTCGTTTTGTTTTTTTCCGCTCCATTCGTGAACCTCTTCCGAGCCCCTCCACAGTCGCTCCCAGCGAATAGGAGCACAGTCGACTGGGTGAGCAATGGCAAAGGCAGGAAATACCATAAGCTTTGTTTCTACATCAAAATATTCATACGTAATGCTTTACGTATGTGTCTTTGCACGTCCTTTATTACTTTCTCGCTGGAGTGCAGTGCACCCCATATTGTGCTCCTAGGCTGCTTTTCTTTACGTACGCGAACTGCATCAAAATAGACGACACGGATGAGATTTGTATTTATTGGTACAAGGGAAAGCTGGAGTAACTCAGTGATTTGCATGTATCGCCTCTACGATTGTCC